TGTGAGTACTAAACTAAGTTCTCATTCACACACAAGTTTACGTTAAAAACACACACGAGTTACAAAAACAGTAGGTTATGTCTGTGAAGGTAAACAGCTGGGAAATAAATCGGATGTTTATTTTAGATCTGTGTGGCAGCAGCAATATACAGTAAATAAATCAATAAATCCACTGCTCTGTTGTCTCCTCTGAGGCTGGGACTCTAAATAGTGTTCTGTGCTCGTCTGTGCAGCCAAAGACAGAACAGTTAGCATGTTTTGCTCAAACTTTCGCCAAGGCATTAGAGCTGGTACACATTTGTCGCTTGTGAAATCAAAATGATGGCACCGTGGGTGGAAACTTACAGACTAAGGGGCGGTAATATTATAATGAGATCCCTTTGCAACGTCACCAAGGGAGCGAAATCAGACGCGCTCATTTTCTCAGACGCTTGCAGAAAAAGGCTTACCAAAACAAAGTTACTGGGTTAATCTTTTTCACGTTTCCTTGGTTGGTAGATGCACCGGGGACCTGATTATAGCACTTAAAACCTGGAAAAGTCAGATTTTCATGATGTGTCACCTTTAACATAGTTTTTGTAAGAAAAACAATGAATTATGATTCATAAATACATATTTATGGAGAAAACAGAAAAAGGACATTCCCTGAAGTCCCGGCATGACGTCACTTATGATTGTATTTTATTTTAATAGTTTTGTTTATTTTTATTTTTGTTATCAATAATGTGCATTCTCTCAAACCCACTCATATTTTTCACTGTGAATTTCTGGCAACCACAGCTGCCATGTTTTTTAAATTTTTTTTATTTTACAGAATTTTTTTTTTTTAAGTTTACGTTTTTTGTGTCATTTGCACTGAAAGGGCTACATTTATAATACAAATTTTGTCAGATTTTATTACTTTCATGATTTGTGCCAATTTAAAAATAAAATACATTACATGTCAAGAGATATTAGAGATCTTTGCCTTATTATAACTCAAAGTTTATAAATAGCACACTCAGTGAATCAGAAAAATGATGGAAAATATGTTTTTATTTACATAACATGGCTTTCCTTTGATGTAAAGGGATTAGGCAATTAAAAGTTATTTTCCAAGTACTTTTTTAAGCAGGCAAAACTTATAAAGTTTGTGAAGAATCCACATCTCATCTTTTGATGACAATGTACGCTATTCTTACAAACAGCTCTGTGAAATATTCCTATTTTGTCACGTCATGCATCTTAAGACTCCAAATTAAACACAGAATAAATCTGAGCGGCAGGCAAGTAATAAAGAAATAAAAGACATTTCTGCTCAGTTTTTGTCTGCGCTTCACACAGTACCGATTAAGACTAAAGTTGAGATGTATGCATTCTGGCAACCACAGCTGCCATGTTTTTTACAATTTTTTTATTTTACAGAATTTTTTTTTTTAAGTTTACGTTTTTTGTGTCATTTGCACTGAAAGGGCTACATTTATAATACAAATGTTGTCAGATTTTATTACTTTCATGATTTGTGCCCATTTAAAAATAAAATACATTACATGTCAAGAGATATTAGAGATCTTTGCCTTATTATAACTCAAAGTTTATAAATAGCACACTCAGTGAATCAGAAAAATGATGGAAAATATGTTTTTATTTACATAACATGGCTTTCCTTTGATGTAAAGGGATTAGGCAATTAAAAGTTATTTTCCAAGTACTTTTTTAAGCAGGCAAAACTTATAAAGTTTGTGAAGAATCCACATCTCATCTTTTGATGACAATGTACGCTATTCTTACAAACAGCTCTGTGAAATATTCCTATTTTGTCACGTCATGCATCTTAAGACTCCAAATTAAACACAGAATAAATCTGAGCGGCAGGCAAGTAATAAAGAAATAAAAGACATTTCTGCTCAGTTTTTGTCTGCGCTTCACACAGTACCGATTAAGACTAAAGTTGAGATGTATGCACCTTGAAGAACAGCTACATGGACTGCGTTTAGCTGTGGCTCTCGTGGCGGCCACTGATATCCAGGCATGTTCACTGGTCCACATGTAAGAAGAAAACACTCAGCACATTCTAACACAGTCTTTGTAATAAATATCATCTATCTTCAGTAATCCAGACATCACAAAGATGATTTTGTCTCTGTGGACTCATGTTTGGCATAAGCAAGGCTCTCTGATTCGAGTGTATAGTAAGCCTAATGGGTCAAGGCAGGGGTCAGAGGTCACCTGCTGATCACGAACGGCAACACTGAGAATAAAATGGCCACCAGTGGAAAACTCAAAGCATTCGCTGATCCGCATTCCATAGCATTCTCCTGTTCAAAAATAGAATTAAACAAAATCATTGAATACTACACTACACATTCAAATTGATTGGATAAATTTAACTTTCAGCCACAGAATGACTCCAAATGAGCTGAAAGCCCTGCAAGAGGCATAAAACTGAAGAGTGAATGGTCCACTAAATCTTTTCGAGTGTACTTTCTTTCAGCTGTGATGTGGATGAGCATTTTACAGGCAGAGTGAATGGGGTACTTTAAAATAAAATATATGATTATGAAGTACATGAACAGCAGTTTCAAAATATTGGAGAACTTTTCAGTATAGTTTAAAATCTGGTATGGTGTTGATCATCAAAAGCAGATGTTTAATACTCAGTGTTGGGAAGGTTACTTTGGAAATGTAATAGGTTACAGATTACAAGTTACCCTATTTAAAATGTAATAGTAGTGTAACTTTTTCAATTGCTTTATTAAAGTAACTGATTACTTTTGATTACTTTTTGATTACTTTTCTACATTTCTAATGAATGTTTATTTGCAACTGTTAATCATTTTCAAACATTTACACCATGCAGGGTTAACCTTACAGTAGTGCTCAGACTTTCAAAATCCTTCCTCACTTGAAGATGATCAAATTTGAACACATCCACCACAAAATCAGACTTTAGTACCGCCTTTTACTTTGAGATTGATCTGAAGTTCAATGCAGATTTAAAATCATAAGAAATAGTTTACTGATACTATTTTTGAAACCAAATCTTTGCATAACTACAGGAAAGAGCAGTTCTAGAGATTATGTTTTTGTTTTCATGTACTCATATATATATATATATATATATATATATATATATGCAAACACCGTGAGCTTCTTGTGGTTACCACGGTTTGACAATAGTAACCATTGTCTTTGGATTTATAGTAAAAAATCATCATTCATTTTCGTAAGGGTTGTATTGTTGTCTGTCCTAGCTCCCCCTAAACCTATTATAAAATATGATTATTTGTCTGCTACTGTAACAGATAATAATGATGTCCTTTATACAGTATTTTGAGTGATGACTGATGAGCAATGGGCTGCTATAGGCCTACTTAACTAAGTAAACAAAGACAAACGCCGTTACATGTAACTAGTTACTCCCCAACACTGTTAATACTACAGCATCATGCATTATGTACCTCCTGATGAAATGGATGACAGGACTGTGGCCGTCTGCGATCCTTTTGAAACTTCAGCCTGTCACACTTCAGAGACTCATTATGTGCTCAGAGGTCAAGGCTGATAATTATACAAATACTCATGCTAAACATAACATTCTAAACAAGTAGATGTTTTGTTATTTTATAAAAAGGATATAAATGATCTCAATGGGCTCCATGGTAACCGGAGGGGTAGAGCTACAGTCACATTTATTCTCAACAACCACCATGAACAGGTTACTGCTGGGAATCTGCTGAATTACAAAGGTCCTGAGTGGGGAAAAAATACAAAAAAAGATGTGCGATTCTTGTTCACAAAACCTGTAGAAGTGGTCGTCCCTCACCTTTTCATTTTGGGTGAACTATCCCTTTAAATATCTTTATCCAATCTAAACATTTTAAAATCTGCATTTAAAACAGAATCGAAATATCTTGTTATTACTAATATATCTATAAAATGCATGTTTTGTGATATGTGAGATTCTTGTTCACCTAATGACAAATCAGGTCTGTTCTATAAAAATAATGTTTTAATAATCTTTAGGCCTAACCAGAGAAACCACATATAGGCCTAATTGTACCCTACATTTCTGCAAGTCAAAGAAAAAAAGAACACTTTCAAAAGAAACACTAAAACATGACTATATTTTACCTAAATTTAATAATCAAATATCTCCAAATATCTAATACTCTATGGCCTGGTTTCACAGACAGGGTTTAGACTAAATCAGGATTAGGCCATAGTTCAGTTAGGACATTTAAGTAATTTTTATAAACGTGCCTTAGAAAAAACATTACTGGTGTGCATCTTGAGACAAAACAATGGCACTGATATATTTTAAGATCAGTCAGTGCAAGTTTCTTTCAGTTGAAAGAGCTCAGACTTACATTTTAGTCTGGGACTAGGTTTAAGCCTCGTCTGTGAAACCGGGGGGAATATATATCTTAAAGGGATAGTTCATCCAACAATGAAAATTCTGTCATCATTTACTCACCCTCCAAACCTGTTTCAAACCTGTATGAGTTTCTTTCTTCTATTGAAACACAAAAGAAGAAATTTTGAAGAATGTTGGTAACCAAACAGTTGACAGTAGCCATTGACTTCCATAGTATTTTTTCCATACTATGGAAGTCAGTGGCTACTGTCAACTGATTGGTTACCAACATTCATTAACCCTTAAATGCATAGATGTTTCGCCAGTCATTATTACATATTCGGGACTTCAGGGACCTGGACCTACAGTATATATCCAACACGGATGGATCTCTAACTGTTGCAATAGCATAAAACTCTCCTGATATTTTAATAACAATTACAAAAGAATTAAATAAAGCATATTTTGTTACCTTTTGAAACTTAGAAGGGTTCAATTTGAGCAGATGATTTTACCATCACTGTCATCAGCACTTCCCCAGTACATTCAGCATCTGGCTTATATTCGCGATCTCAACCATATTCTGAAAACTATAGTTTTCAATGACTTAAAGATCAATATTTAGATCGCCTGCAGCTTATTCACCACATCCACCATCAAATGACCAATGATCAACTTATATTTCATTGCGGACAGTAATTGCTCTGCAGTAAAGCCATTCAAGCCAGTTCAATTTTTGCTAATTATATTCTTTTGTTTTATGCCTGCGGTAATTATGAGTGAAACATCACTTCATCATTGTCTATCAAACAGTGCCACCTTGAGGAGTAAATTGCACTTACTGAGTCATCAGATATTTAATTATTTTGGCGGTGAAGGAGGGAGAGGGTAGTGAATGACGTCCCGGGTCGCTAAAGACCCAAGGTATGCATTTAAGGGTTAAAATATCAAATTTTGTGCCCAACAGAAGAAAGAAACTTAGACAGGATTGGAGCAACTATGGAAAGAATTGAAATAATTTTCATTTTTGGGTGAACTATCCCTATATTTTAAAATCTGAATTTAAAACAGAATCTAAACATCTTATTATTACTAATATATCTATAAAATACATGTTGTTACATTTTATATAAATAAGCATAATACCAGAATACTGTGGAACAATTATTATTGTCTACATGACATTTAGCTACATAGCACTTGTCAGAAATAAAGATGTGAGAGAGAGAGAAGCGAAGCTCTGTTTTAATGTCAGATCATGCTATGTTTATTCTTTCAGATGTATGTGTGCAGCTGCTATTGAGAGCAAAATAACCACATATAGGCTAAACAGCTTTCCACAGAAGGGTGTCAGTTATCTGCGACACAGGCTCTCATACAGTTCTAGCTTGATGCTTTTTAATTAGAAGCGTGGGGGTGGCTGTCAGAGTTAGATCTTTGTCTATGTCTATATCTAAGGCCTTTCAGTTGTATATTAAATATTTTTTACTTTCTACTTTAAATATATGTGTCATGAAGAAGAATATTAAGAATTGGCATAACACTTTATACGAGACTAGAACTAACTAATCTATAACATTAATATAGTAATTATGTTTCAAATGTTTTCATGTTATAAATGAAGTTAACAGAAATGTATTACTATATAAATGATTTCAAATCATAATGTAAAATATATATGCAAGTGGGGTTTTATGGTGTTTTCACAAAGCAAATGCTAGTACAGCGACCTCTTTTAATCTGTATCACTTTAAGAACAGCACAGTGTTTCATTAGAACATGCAAATGCATTAGTGTTGCATCAGAATCATTTTAAAGTACTTTGTTTCAAAACACAAATTTACACCAATTTCTCCTTCTTTCTGCTGTGCATTATAAATAAGCATGCACACACACAGACATAAACAGATGTTCTCACCGTATACAGCCACCACAGTCAATGTTCCCTGTGGTCTCTTTGATGGTGCGCTCAGAGACGAAAGCCGGGTATTCAGTGTCACACGGCACCATCATTGTCCTCTGAGCTCTCTGGGCTGCACACATTAACACTAAATTCAAAAATGGCACTGTACAACTGGAATAAATTATCATTATTTAGATATATTTCAATATACATCATTTTTGTTTGCATTATGGTCATGACAGCTAACATGACAGTACATGTAAACTACTTTTTTCTTTGCCATGTGTGATTCACATGTCATCGCCTTACAGATTAATTGAGATTTATAGGCTTTTTAGTCCTTTATTAGATGAAAATCTAATATCTATTATATATCATGTGGAAGAAATGAAAAATAACAAGGGCGTGCTCACAGGAGCATGTAACCCAATTAACATGTTTCTAAAAGAGTCCCTGTCATACATGGACTGATACCTTTGACTGTCGTGTCACAGTTCCACCAGCTGTACATGTTAAACTCCAGCAGAAATCTGTGAAAAAGACATTTCCACTCAGAAACAGACTGAAAATCCCAAGCTGACAATAATTATAAGGCAAAAGGCTTTTTATCTCACATGACAAGTTCTGTCAAGAGCCATTTGACAGAGGTGAAGGGCTGAAAGGAAGAGAGCAGCGTGTCAGTGGAGACAGGAAACAGAATCCAGAGGCACTGAAGTCTAACGCTACAGCACATATAATAGCGTACTCACATCCAGCAGAGTGCGTGCGCTGTCACTGCTGCCTGCGTACTCTTTACAGAGAGCCTGATAGTCATACAAATTCATCCTAGGAGAAACAAAAGTAGAAGCAGATTCACTACTAAACGCAACCTTGGGTTAATATCTTCTTTAACCCCAGGTTAAAACCACTTTAACACTGGCTTAAGGAACGTTTCATACATTTTTTAAATGAATTTAGCACCACTTTCGACCCTGCTTTATGTGCCATATTTCAGTGCATGTGGTGCTAGATTGAAAGGTAACTAGGCTACATTTGTTAACTACATTAGTTAACATGAACTAGTTAACTAAATCATTCTAAAGCATTTATTAACCTTTGTTATTGTCAAATGTCAATATTTACTACTACATTATTAAAATCAAAAAGTTGTCTGTTAGTGGACCTGGGTTAACATGAACTAAAAATTAACAGTCATATTTTTATTAACTAACATTAACAAAGATTAATAAATACTGTAACAAATGTATTGAACATTGTTAATGTTAATGAATTAACCAATGGTAACTAATGTAAACGTAGTATAACATTTTACCATCATTTAAGAACAGACAACCAATCACAAGCTAAACAATGCAGGTTTCATTAAATACATATTTATGAAGTAAAAAAAAAAAAAAAACCTTTTTTTTCTAAATATAGCACAATTGATAGAGTTTTATGCTTAAAACACATCTGCCTATAAGGCAAAGTAAATCAGGATAATAATTCAGGATATATTTTCTGTAAACAACTGGACACAATTTATCATAAGGATTAAAACAAGACAAAAAAAACTTTCAGTATTTCAGTAACTTTTCATTTTCAGTATTCCAAAAAGATAATAAATATGACATTTTTTGTTTATTAAAACAGGTTGCTGTACATGCTGTACTTGCCCAATCATTTTTATTGACCTCATAAACATATGCAAAATAGGGCATTTACTTTTTACAGGTTTACAGATGTACAATGTAAATTCTTGAAACTTGACAAAATAGGTTAATTAACATTTATCTATCTATCTATCTACGTGTATGTGTGTGAGAGAGAGAGAGAGAGTGTGCTATCTCTCACTTTTTAAATGAGCCCATCAGAAGCAGTTTGTTCATGACGGCTCCCTCCACTTCTCCAAAGAAGAGGTTCGTCTGTGGGAAACACATTATGGAAGGTTATAGTTAAAGATATAGTCATTATGGAAAGTTATTGACATATTGACACAGGGTGGTTTTTATGCTACCTGGTCTTTTCGTACAGCCCTTGTGCTACAATTCTCTGTATATCATACCTGTAAAGTGTCTTCAGAGACCAAGATGAAACCATTGTTGTCTACGAGATAACATTTAATGTCCTAATGGGAGTCAGAAACAGAGAATATTAATTTAAATAAATGATTCAGCAAGCTTTGATCTGTTGTGATCTTAAATCATTACAAATGTCAAGACAGTAAAATAATATGCATTTTATAGCTTTTTTATGCCAAAGCCATTAATAAAAGAGGCAGAATTTAAAATGAGAAACGCCATGAGGCACTGTCATATGTCATATATCATAAAAGAAGAGCAGACTGATCTAGTAAGCCTGTCATGTTCCAGAAATGTCCATTGTATAATGAGCATGTGGTGAATACAGGCCATTTTATGAGCTCCATCACTGAAAATATGGCCAAAGGGAGAGAAACAGAGTCCCATTTACCTCATTATCACAGCTGATGGTACATTTCCCATCCAGAGCATTGCACTGTGTGGACACATGCAGTGGTGAAAACATGAAGCAAATGTACATGAATGCCATTTATATACAGATCCTTGCTTATAAAGAGTTACATTAGTTTAGAGCAATATCTATCATTATGGTCTCTTATACACTGTTGCTCATGAACACATCAAACAGAGCTCTTATGCAGCAGGTAATAATACACAATTCAACACATCTAGAAGGTCTGGTTTGATAAATGTATATATTTATATTCCCATAAGCTTATATGTCTGTGCTTACCTGCCGACTGGCCGTCCAAAATTTTCTCTGAAAGAATTCCAGCTTCATTTGAATTCCCACAGCTTTGTCGTAAAAGACACATTTAATAAATGATGTTTAGCTGTGGTCAGTGTAATGTATTGGCCAATAATACATTTGAAAAAGAATATTTTATAATGTATTAATTTTGCTTTGAAATAGGAAGACAAGTACCTGCCACTATAGGAGACTTCCTGTCATCGAGTAGTTGGATAGCAGTGCTCGCCAAAACCACACTCTTATTTTCACCCCCTTAAAAGAAATAACACAATTGAGCATAAATGCCTCCTTATATAGCATTTATAGCAAAATCATCAATGAACATGAGAACTGGTCCACTTATTTAATTATCCACTAAAACTGCTGGTTTATCATCCAAAAATGGCTTGCCGGTCTGTTCTGAGGGGGAAAAACAATGCTAAATACAAATGATAAAATGTAACTAAGCATATAATTATGCGTAATTAGGAAAGCAAAATAAACAGGCTTAAGACCATTTAGAAAGGGATGCAAAAATGGTATGCATATCTATTATTGTTGACGTCAAAGTATACATTTATGTCATGTGCACAAAGTGGTTAAATTAGACAGACGCCAACATGACCTCTCTAAAATTCGAAAAACATGAATAAAACTACAGAAGATAAAAGAAAATATGACCAAGACTGAATAAAATACTCTTCTCTTGGGAAATAAAAATAAATGTAATGATTAATTTTTGATTTGGACGTACAATAAAATGGTATGCCGTTGCTCCGAATGACATGTCATAACCACCAGAGGGCAGCATTTATTTACATAAATATTTATAAGCATAAATCCATTAAGAGCAACTCCTTCGTTTGCATATTCAGGTCAAAAGAGGCATGGATTGAAACAAACACTCAGTTACATGATGAAACAGAGCTCATTTATAGTGGTACAGGCAGATGAGGGAGAGTGTTTGATCAGGGAGGAGTTCAGCGCTGTCTGTGTGATAAGGAGCCCAAGAGCTGTTGAGTGGGATGTAATGATCCTGATCTGTCACACACACACACACACACATTGCGTGAACGTAAAAGTAGGGCACATTAATTACAGGCGAAGGAAAGAGAGATAAGCAGACAGCCTGCGTGAGGAAAGCAGTACAGTGCAGCTAGAGTAACAAACCACACAGACGCGCCGTAACAGTATGCAGCTTTCAGCACATGGACATTGACTAGTGTGGCATAAAACTGTATTCTGGAGATCAACCTGAAATATGAGTACATGATGATCTATGCAAAACAAATCAGCTGAGTGATGGGCTAAAGATGTGTGGTGGAGCAATAGGTAAGTATAAGTACAGAATGATTTTGATGTTTATTGTAGATCACTACAATGTCAATAACTATTATTAATTTGAACCCAATCTCTAAACCCAAGCAAAAAACTTCAGTGCTTAACTTGTCCCAGACTGTCTGGCTAAAGGCATGAATGTTTCCTCAAATTGTGAAAGGTGTTCTCATCCTGTCATGTTGATGAAAGGTGTTATTACTTTTTTACGCAATTAAATTCACAATTTTGGATAAAACGTGTAAAAAACAAAACAAAATATGTATTATATAATTATATATTTTAAATATATATTTTATTTAATATTATATCATTAATTTTAATCTTAATATATTTAAATTTAGATTAAATAATAAATTAAATATATCTAAATATATGTAATATTTAATTATAATGCAATAAATCTAATATAAAATGTTTAATTGATTATTTTCCTTTTTTTTTCTTTTCCCCACTTAAAAACATGACTTTGCTATCGACATAATTATGGACTGAAATGCAATTAGAATTAAATGAGTATTAATACGTTTTTTTCTGCATTGTCCTTAAAGTCGGCATGAAATCAAAATTGACTTTATTTACTTTACTAGCGCACATTGCTAGTCTTGATGTTAACAATTAATCCGTGCAAGTTAATCCGCTGAAAAAAATTGTTTGTTTTCGTAATCTTTAATCAAAATCTGAACATTTGCTTCTGCTCTGGAATGGCAGTCCTTCTCTGATGATGTCAGTTTGACGGCTTGGTGCAGAATATCCTTTTAAACACACCCCTCCAACCGTTAGTTTGATATGAGTGATAGACAGAGAGGAGAAGCGCCAAAATAAAACCATGCCCTCTATTCAATATTCCGTTTCAGAAGGAAATACGTCACTACACTGAAATAAAGTCGGCAGCAACTTCCGGTTCATGCGGACTTTAAATGCTTAAAGTATGTTGCATGACATGGATGTGTGTTAATGTGCTTGAACGTCATACCTGAACTGAAGGGAATGGAGTACACAAAGGTGCCGGGCACCTGCTCTGCGGCTCTTTTATACCACAGAGGAAAGTGATCTGCGTTAAAGACGCCCTCCTTGTCTTCCGCAGTGAGAAAATCTCTACAAACACATTCAACCATGGAGGATATTTTACTTCATCAATCATCATTAACACTCAGAGGCCTTTTATTGGCCAGCGTAATGAGATCAGAATCCGTCATTGGCCGGTCATTTGCATTAGGACTCACTGATTGGTCAGCTGCTCGGGAACCACAAACAGGTTGGTTCTGGAAAGACCAGTGCGAGTGCCGAGAAAAGCGATCTCAACCCCTTTATCAGAGTTCCTGTTGATAAAAACAAACAAAAACTGTTTTAGGCAAAATAGGTGTATGAATGGTCTCACAGTTTTCCTACCCAGACAACCAACATAATTTGCTAAAAACTAGCTGCAAAAACAGCCTGTTTAGATTTAAGAGACAGACAGGAGGTGGAAAATAGTTATGTAAGAAATTTACTGAACTAAAAGGCTTCTTGAAGCTAATTTAGTAAATATGACCAAGTAAAAGTCCAAACTCACTCAGACTTATTGAGGGCCAGTCCAGTCCAGTACGCTTCTAAGGGAGCCGTTACTACAGCGTCAAACAAAACCTGCTGAATCAGCTCTCTGTCACCTACAACACGCACGAGAGGACATTTAATACTCATCGGACAGCAACTTTAATGGGGACAGTGTTTAAACGACTGAGGTAATTTTGTAAGCAAGGTGAAAGATCTAGATGGAGGACAATGTGGCAAAACTTTTCAGGAGCAACTGCTACTATACTGCACTATGAAACTGAGCTCATTTAACTGAAAACTGATTGAGCTGAAAAGAAAAATCTTGCACTGATGTATCGATTATAATAAGACCAGAAGTGTGCATTAAAAAGTTAATCTGAAATGCTGCTCACATTTGAGATGTGGTTTACGGCTGGTCATGTAGAGTCTGATGGCCTGAACTTGAGTCAGGTGACGATGCTCATGGTGCTCATCTGGGTTACAGTATGTCCTGAAACATAAAGACAAAATGTATTAGTTACAGTATGTCCTGAAACATAAAGACAAAATGTATTACTTGTGTGGTTAATGACAGCAATAGAAATTTATATTGGTGAGTTTCTATAAAGGTACCATTCATCAGCGAGGGCAACATCCGGCTGCTCCAGATCATGTAGACCTAAACGAAGACGAGTGGACGAGAGTTTAGAGAGGATTACAGATGAACTGGAAGTATCAGGAACATTCCTACATACTTGTGGATAAATCACAGAAAGAGCACATCCAGTATCACTGCTGTTAAAAAGAACACTGACAGAATTATGATATTTGTGTTTTCAGGCTAGAGGAGAGGAATGTCTCAAGAAAACAGATCTGTTCACCTATGAAGGACAGGTCTTAAACATTATTTATAGTTCACTGGACACTGAAATAAGCTTAACTGAGTTTTAAACCTATAAACCCTCTGTATCATATTTAATATGCAAAAAAGGCCTTTAAATGATTAACATGATCAAAGCTTTGTACGAAAGCCTCTTGTACATGTTGCGACACATCAGAAGGGTTTGGATCCATTTGCAGTTTATTAAGAATGGTCAGACAATACAGGGTCAAATACCGGCAAGGCAGAACAGTAGAGACAAGGCAGAGGCAGAATCGTGAACCAGGCGAGAGATCGGGGCAGGCAGATAACAGTCAGAGAATCAGGAGACAGTCCAAGATCAAAGCACAGAAAACAAACACAGGTATAACGCTCGGAAATGACAGCCGGGGCAAATCAAGACTTCGCAATGAGTTCGTGAAATGGTGTGGCTTATATGTGTGTGTGTAAATGAGATGCAGGTGTGATTGTGTAATCAGTCCCAGGTAAGAGGGATGATGGGAAATGGAGTCCGAATGGGAGATTGCTAATACTCTGGGGACAGTTCCCTCTGGTGGTGCGGAGGAGGCGGTACGGGAGCCTCCTCTGTAACAATAAGATTATTAATTCTACAAGCAGAATTATTTTTTTTTTTACACTAAGTAGAAATCAACATATTCGTAAACAGAAATATTTGTAAAACATTTTACTCACTTAAAAAACAGTGATGAACAACAGCATTTTAACTGAATATGTAGCTACATAATATACATAAAATGCTGCAAATGAATTGCAAATGCATGGATTTAAATTAATCAGAGATTCATTTTAGTGAATCAGTTTGTTTGGTTGGTTACATTTACATTTATGTATTTGGCTGACACTTTTATCCAAAGTGACTTACATTGCCTTCAAATTGTTTACATTGCAATCATTTCCTGGGAATCAAACCCAAGACTTAGATTTTTTACCATGCTATAATGTTTGAGCTACAGGGGTGAGCTAGTTCATGTAACTCAAACACATCATGTAGTGGAAGATCATTCGAAAAGCATTATTTTAGCTCAAACAGAGCAAGGTCAAGGTCATGGGAATGATTCCCAGAGAGTACATGAAAAGCATAAATAAATATGTACCTCAAATGTAATGTAAATTAGCTAAAATGTGATGCAAAGTTTGTGTTACATAGCGGCCACACTGAGTTTTATGGTTTGCTGAAGGTAGTCAAGATATTTCTTGCAGTGTGACCTGGGAAGAGGCATGAGACAGTTTTTAGCGGTTAAAAACAAGCTGAGCACCAGTATTGTTTGTGCATTCAAAGAATACGGCTGTATAGCATATAGCCTACATGGATGGAGTTAACAATCTGGCCACAGCTAGAACTTGGATGAGCAGTGATTAGCAAAATACCTTATTTTCCTTTTAAAAAAAGAAGAGAAAACTTTATTAGCTTTGCTTTGGATTAGCACATTAGACGATTACAGTATTGACAAAACATTCATGCATTTATAATACTGCAGTTGTAGTAAATAAACAGAAAGGTACAATACACTGACCAAAATAGTCTCCCTTAGACTATTCCCCCCAAAATGCTGTTGTTCCTGCAGTATATCGTTCCTCATTTAAACATGAAAAATACTTTTAATTGAGAGCTCAAACTGAAAGAGCTGAATCCTTTGTGGTACAACAGCTTTGAACATCAAACATGTTGCAACCTAATGTGACTCTTCATTTTATTGGTACCTCTTCACCAGATCTTGAATAAGGCCGTTCTGGTCATCTCTAATTCCTTTTTAGCAATTGATTTTAAGTGATAATCTGCAAGGATCTATATCTGATCTAACCATGAATTTGTGAGTGAGGTACTATGAGGAATGTCTCATGTGCAACTGACCACAGAAACAGATATTTTACCTCCCAACTCAAGGCATTTTTGTCACTCCCGGATGTAAGGCTGATATTGACGTTGAGGTGTTTGAAGAAGGCGGACCATACTTTGGAAGTGAATTGAGGCCCTCGATCTGACACGATATCTTCGGGTAGGCCATAGAATCTGAACACCTGGTTGCAGAGCAGTTCGGCGGTTTCGAAGGCTGTAGGGAGCTTGGGTAGAGGAATTAGGCGGCAGGCTTTGGAGAATCGGTCTATGATTGTGAGTATGGTGGTGTTACCTTGGGAATTGGGTAGGTCGGTGATGAAGTCGATGGCGATATGAGACCAAGGTCGTTGTGGTGTCGGTAGTGGTTGTAGCAGGCCGGCCGGGAGTTGTCTGGGTGATTTGGAAGTCTGACACGTGATACAGTCCTGGATGAATTTGGTGGTGTCGGTCAGCATAGTGGACCACCAGAATCGATTCTTGAGCAGGTGTACTGTGGCAGTGATTCCAGGATGACCTGAGCTGGGTGTAACGTGTACCTGAGAGAGCAGTCGCTGTCGTTGGGGTTCCGGCACATAAGTGAGGTTGGCAGGGCATTCGGGAGGCGGTGGATCTTGGAGGTTCATATGTTCGATCTCGGTCATGATATCCCACTGTACAGGTGCCACGAGAAGGCTTTCAGGAAGGATAGTGTCGCTAGCGGTGGCTTGGACTGTTTCCTCGGTTTGGCGTGAGAGAGCGTCGGCTTTAGTGTTCTTGGAACCCGGTCTGTATGTGACGGTGAACCGAAATCTGGTGAAGAACAACGCCCACCTGGCCTGTCTGGGGTTTAGACGTCTAGCCGAACGCAGGTACTCCAAGTTCTTATGATCGGTTAGGACGGTAAACGGGTGAGTGGCCCCCTCCAGCCAGTGCCGCCATTCCTCGAGCGCTAGTTTTATGGCAAGGAGTTCACGGTTGCCCACGTCGTAGTTCCGTTCGGTGGCGCTCAGTTTGCGGGAGAAGAAAGCACACGGGTACATCTTAGCTGGGGAACCATGACGTTGAGATAGGATGGCGCCTACCCCGGTATTAGACGCGTCGACCTCCACAATGAATGGGTGTTCTGGGTCTGGATGTCGGAGAATAGGAGCAGTGGTGAACCGAGTTTTTAATTCGTCGAAGGCCAGACGTGACTCTGGGGACCAAATCAGTCTGGATGTGTGACGTTTGGTCATGGTAGTCAGAGGGGCGGCGATCGAACTGAAGCCCCTGATGAATCGCCTGTAGAAGTTTGCAAACCCCAGAAAACGTTGCAATTCCTTGACTGTCTGAGGTTGGGGCCACTCCAACACTGCCTTGACTTTCCTCTCGTCCATGGCTACCCCCTCCTGACTGATAATATACCAGAGGAACGAGGTGCTTGTTTGGTGAAACTCGCACTTCTCAGCTTTGGCGTAGAGTTGATACTTCATGAGGCGTTTCAGCACAGATCTAACATGGTGGATGTGTTCCTCCAGAGTGTTGGAGTAAATCAGGATATCGTCGATGTAGACAATTACCCATCGGTCGAGCATGTCCCGGAAGATGTCATTCATGAACGATTGGAAGACTGAAGGACTGTTTGCCAGGCCGAACAGCATAACCAAGTATTCATAGTGCCCACTAGTGGTGGAAAACGCCGTCTTCCATTCGTCTCCTTCACGGATGCGAATTAAGTTGTAGGCGTTGCGCAGATCTAGTTTGGTGTAGTATTTGGCCTGGCGAAGCTGTTCTAATGCGGCTGGAACTAGGGGCAACGGGTATCGAAACTTAACGGTGATGTCATTCAGGCCGCGGTAATCAATGCATAGGCGCAACCCTCCGTCCCTCTTCTTTACAAAGAACCCGGCTGAGGCAGGAGAAGTTGAGGGTCGAATGAATCCCTTGGATAGTTCCTCGTCAATGTAAAGTTTCATGGCCTCAGATTCGGGTTGTGATAACGGGAAGATTCTGCCCTTTGGAGGAGCGGTGCCAGGCATTAAGTCAATAGCACAATCAACAGAACGGTGAGTGGGAAGCTGAGACGCCTTTTTTTTACTGAAGGCGTCGGCGAGGTCTGAGTATTCTGAGGGCAGAGAAAGGTTGTTTGGGACTGGAGCAGGTGATAGAGAGGCATTGCTGGGGGCGCGGGTAATTTTTGTCAGGCAATGATCTTGACATTTGACGTCCCATTGAATAATTTGTCCCTCCCGCCAAGAGATGAGTGGATTGTGAGTGCGGAGCCAGGGCAGTCCTAGAATGATAGTGTGATTGGGCGAGTGGATGACGAAGAATCGAATGAATTCTGAGTGCAGGGTTCCAACATGTAATTTGACTTCTTCGGTGATGCTTAAAATCCTCCCCTCTCCAAGGGGCCGTCCGTCTAGCGCCTCCACTGCCAGGGGAGAGTTACAAGAGGTAAGTTTTAGTTTGTGGTGCTGAGCGAATTCATATGAGACAAAGTTACCAGCCGCTCCGGAATCTAATAGAGCGGTGGTGGTAATTGTAGTGTCATTAACAAGCAGTCTGACTGGTAATTTTAGGCTTGAGGCAGAGGTGGTCATGCGAGTGTTTAGACTCACCGATCGGGAACTGGGTGAGGGACGAACTGGGCAGGAAGTCCTCATGTGTCCCGCCTGACCGCAGTAGAGGCACAGTTGATTCTGCATACGGCGTTCCCGTTCCTCGGGGGTGAGGTGAGTGAATCCAACTTTATGCTACTTTTTTTTTTAGCACAACTGTAAATATGTTCACCTTTAGGTTGTGGTTCATGTGTCTTTTTTGCTGTGAAATCTTAGAAATATGTATATATTTTTATAAAGTAAATGTAAGAATAAATTTTATATTGTTAGTAATATTTCAAGATGATGGACTGACGCAACTTAAGTTTACTTGATTATCCATACATTATTTTTTATGTATGGCAATTTAAATATAAGCAACTGCACCAAATTGCAATTTTTGCTCAGTTTTGGCCTAATTAAGGTTCATAAATAAGGTGTTTTTTTTCTCCTTGAGTATGATATATAATACTCAAAAAAATACACATATGCAAACATTTTCTTTTTTGACTTTTAAAAATATTTTGTCTAAAGGTCAATAAACTGTTCCATTTTTAATTTTTTTTCTGACTATTTACTGACTCTTTTTTTAATATGTAAGGCGTTAGAGGGTTAATCTGAGGGTTTAACAGCAAAATGTGATTTACAGCTACTAGACGAGAATATATTCAAACATTTTAACCATAAGAATTGACTCACTTTGGCATTGTTTTTCATAAGTCTTGCTAATAAACAAAATCCTCACCGGCTTCTAGTGAAACATTTCCCTTGAAGAAGTATTTCCCATGTCCTCGAGAGAGCGCCACACCTACACTACAACACATACAGGAAATATCATTAAAAAGTCATATTTTCATCATCACAATGCCACATACTTTCAATCGTTTGTTCAAACGTAAAATATTTACATATATGAGTCATCACCTACCTAAATGGAGTTCCTTTAATACCAGTGTAGTAATAATCATTGTGCATCGTCAAGACACGTTTCTGGTGAGGAACAACATTATAAAGTTAAGCAGTCATGGGAGGTGTATTTTTGATATTTTGATATTAATCCAATGCTTTTTTTTTAAATAAAATGATACTAATATCCTATATTATTGTAGTTCTTGCATGCAAAGATGAAAATGTTACCCCTTTGTCCACTGTTCTTTTTACTTCCATGGAGAAAGTGCCAGTTCGTCTGTTCACCATCGCTGTGCGCAACTACAAATAAACACATTTATGAAGCAGCACTTATTCACTTTAATGCTATATACTTCTAAGATGCAAAACACTTTATGCAAGTATGTGAACCTAATGCACAACAGGACTGAGAACCTGCGATGCATTTGCATCTATGTACTTGCATAAAGTAAGTTTCTGGTCTAAGTGTACTGCATTGAGTGCACTCAATAAAAACTGGTCCATACAACATCCTCTGTGTCCTCCCATTCCACCTCGGACAGGTCCACGCTGCTGTAACTGGGTTTCTTCCTCTTCTGGCCCTCCTGGTACTGCAGAAAGAGACACAAAGAGGACAGGAAGTGCTTTAGAGGAGGGCAGTGCAGTTACAATTAGGAATTGGGATCATACGGGTAACACAAAGGAGACAGAAATGTACAGTACATTGTGATAGAGGCCATTAATCTAGCGTTTCGCACTCCTGCTCCTTGGGTTTCCAACTAGCAGTGCACATTTATGGTGTCTAATCAGGTGATGAAGCATGTTAAAGGTGCTGTAAACAATTTGCTCAGTTTCACCGTTTTGCTAACTTCAACCACACAGCCTTTCCCCAAAACGATCAAAGCAATCCCAAACGTAGGATATGATTGACAGGCACAAAGCATTCCTGATTGACTGGTTTTGTGATTGGCTTAAAGGCGTGGGCCGCTTGCCTGACTCTTATTTACAGTTTACAGACTCTAGTGCTGTTACTGAGACAGGTTTGATTTCTGAGGACAGCTATTTCAGTGATATCTGTCAGTAGTCGAGACATTATAGGTGTGGTATTCCAAAAAGTTGCTTACAACACCTTTACATCCAGTATGTGCAGTGCTGAGGGACTCCAGGAGCAGGATCGACAAACTGTGGGAATGAGTTTTGTTTACACACTATCAGAGCAGCCAATATTCGGCTTATGGGGATCTGTGTCAAAATAATCGGTCTAATCTTTTTTGCTCAGATTGGCTTTGGAAATTCAGTCAGTCAGTGGCTCTGTTCCAATCCCTAATGAGTTGTCTTGCCATCTGCTGTCTACATAGGCAGCATTCTAAACAAATTCAAACAATTTATGTAAATTGCAACGATGCAACAATGGTTACATTAATGGTGTTTGTCATGTGGAGCACACAAGAAGTCACTGAGAATGCTGTAAATCTATTGATTTCAATGGAAAAAAAATGCAAGCCAAACTTTATTTATTTTTACTTTATATTTTATTTTAATATCTAAATATATTTTAAGGCAAGCAGGTACAGAATTCATGATTCAAAACTATAACAAACACAAAAAATACAAATTGACAGTGTTATTTTAGTATATTATTTATAGTAGTTATAATATTTAGCCTTATATAGCTTTTTATATAGCTTTCATTTGTATAGTCAGTTTTCATTTACATTTTTTAAGTTACAGTAATTTTGTTATGCGCTGTCATTTTTGTTTTTGCATTTTAACTTTATTCAGTTTTAGTAATTTTAGCACTTCAACTTATTTTATTTTAGTTTGTTGCCATGGCAACATTTCTAAATTTCACTTTTTTAAGCTTTTCACCAAATATATTTTTTTTTATTTCAGTTAATAAACATATATTTTTGATAGTTTGAGTTAACTAACAATACTGCAAAGAACTGAAATATTAGTTACAATTTTTAATTAGATGGACCTATTTTCTCCCATTTTATATACTTTTAATTGAATAAAATACACTTTATATACATTAATGTAAAAACTTTCCTTGTTGCAATGTATTCTGGGATATCCATGAAGGATACATACCACATATAATGTCCAATACTGTTAAAATCCAGCATAATTTTGCTCCCTATACTCTTTGGAACAGCTTTCACATTGAGAGTTTGCCTATGATGACAAAAATATTTCTCTAGATATTCAGCTCATTAAGGTTTGCAACAGAGCCTAAAAATAGTTATAAAGTTTAATAAGAATGTTACTTTGTGTCATACTTGAATCCAGTCCAGTTCATAACCAATGCTACTTACACTAATAATACACATTTTAGCATTTACCACATTCAATGACATTGTCCCTGTTGAGCAACACAGAGTCAGTGTGGTCTGTAAATACACACTCTTAACACACACTCAGAAGCCTTGACTGATGCACACCACCGCTACGCAAACACAAACTAATACACAGCAGCACTGGAGCCACATTACGACGAGAACACCAACACGTTCACGACACACAGAGACGCACACACGCACACGCAGTCACGTGGGGTGACTGAGAAGCCTTGACTGATGCACACCACCGCTACGCAAACACAAACTAATACACAGCAGCACTGGAGCCACATTACGACGAGAACACCAACACGTTCACGACACACAGAGACGCACACACGCACACGCAGTCACGTGGGGTGACTGAGAGCGGGGTGAGGGGTGTCCCTGTGAAGGGTGAGTTACCTCAGTGCTCTGATCAGCCCTGGCAGGCACATGAATGGGCTTTTATTCCTGCATGCAATATATCAGAGGAAAAGGGTTGGGATTACAAAAACTACATCTCCCATGATGCACTTCAGCGTCCCACCAGCGCTCTCACAAGCACACTTCATGTGTGGGTTGATTTTACCTGAGCCAGCTTGTTTGGGGTGTGGATGTAGTTTCAGCATATTTCAGCTCTATTTTAGGTGGTGTTTGAAATCATAATCCTAATATCAGGCTGGATATGGGCCCAAAACAAGATATCATTCCTTACCAGGGGCCTCAGGTCGGGATGCGTCAGGATATATCCGTTATTGGTGATGGCAAACGCATATCCATGTATTCCAAGCTGGAGAAAAGAAGATGAGATTTTAAAAATGATAGCAATAATGCACCCCAGCCCGCTTTAAGATATAGAGAGTGTAAAATTGAACAGATTAAAATTGATTTTGTGGTGGTAATGTCATACCTTGTGTTTTGGGATGGTTTTCATTAACTCTTGAATGGGGATGTCAGTGCCTACGACGCCTAGCAGGATGCCTTGGTTTTTCTGCGGAGGGACACATACTGTAAAATCACTTTATTTTCACACATATGCATTTGTCTCATATTCATACATAAAGTGTGCACATTCATTTTGAATAGACACTGATACAAACACCAACAGACTGACAGGTTTGAAAACAGATGGCGAGATTAACAAGTTATTTGACGTTTTTGTATGGTGGATCGAAGGATATTAATGATTAATGAAACAGTAAGTATGAAATATAAGTGAAACACTGTCAATAATATAGCATACTATTAATGAGAGAGTTCTGATAAATTGGATTAACAAGTAACATTTTTACTTTTTAATGCAATTACAATAAAAGCTTCATCCCTGAAATAGACACAGAAACACTCTAAAAGTGTTCCATACAACTTGTGCATTATATAGAAGTCTTTAAAAGTCATATAATAGATTTGTGTGTGAAAAAGACCACTGAAAATCTTGACATTCACTCAAGCTTTAATGAGAGAAGTACAGATTTGTGAATGAATTGTTCATTTGAGTCAAATCTTTTCAGTGAATCGGTTGATTCAGTTCACAAAACAGGTCTAAATGATTCGTTTTTACTAGGGCTGCCCACGACTAAAGATTTTTCTGGTCGACTAGTAGTCGTTCATTTTAAGCATTAGTCGACTATTAGACGCACTTTTATTAATAAACCATATAAATCATAATAATGAGTCTTTAATTGCCTACATAGCCTAATAAGCGCTCAAGAGCACGCAAAAAAGGCTTGCCACAGTGCACAGGCAACAATAATAATTATGAATGTGTTAGGGAAAAACAGCAAGTACACTACATTAACGTTTTAATAATTTATTGTTACACTAGTGCTTTCTGTTTTCGGTTTAAGAGATGAAGTCGGCGACACTGACTCGTCCTCTTCGCAGTATGTGCCTGTACACATGTTTCATACAGATTACCTAATCTGCGAATATTTGTTTTCTATTTGAATTGATTCATTTAAAAGTTTCACTCTCTATAGATATATTTTTCATGTCTGTAATAAGGCAAGAATACACGGAGTTTCGAAGTGACGCGCTCAAGTTCACAGAGTCCGAGACGGCAGAAAGCGCATCCTGTTTGCTTTCATTATTTTACAAAAGCGCAACGTTTTGTTGTTATTCTGAGTGCACACGAATAAACGTAGAGTCATTACATATAGCCTACGAAAGATGCATTACTCTTATCTGTATGACCAAAAATGACGAAGTATTTTAAGAGCAAATGATCGCAGCGGCACCTCCATCTATCATGCAGTAGCCCAAGCGCGCTAATATTCATCTTCCACACTCCGCACAAACACGTGAACTGTGCACTTTTTTCTAGGCTAACATTAGATTGAGCTGCCATGTAAAGTTGCTACTACATACATATTTTAGATGATAAGCCATATTTGGGGTCGATGAATGTTAGGTGAGCTTATGGATGTCCTGCCAGATGTACGTAATTTCGCCACTTCGTGTGGAATTTTTTTTTCTGAGACTAATAAAATTTTGGTCGACCAAGCCTCTTCTCGTCGACTAACGGTTAGTCGGCTATTAGGGGGCAGCCCTAGTTTTTACATTAAACATTTTAGAATATACATAAATATTGCTAGTTAGAAAAAAAAATGTATTTTTAATTTAATTTAATTAGATTTTTAATTAAAAAAAGAATTATTATTTTCTAAATAATTATTATTAACTAATCGGGCCAAGCGATTAGTCAACAGAAGAGACAGAGGGCTGCACGTGAGTATTTTGCGTAATACTTGTTTATAGATCTGCTGTTTGAATTATTACGTTCTGCTAGGAAGGAATATTTCATTTTCTGCCTATTTCTATGTTATATTTTTGTTTGCGTTTGTTTTTTTGATAATATGGGAGTAATATTTGCCTAAAAATGAATGTCCACGGAACCACTATGAAAGGCCTGCTAAATAAACTGTAAATGGGATGTTTCCTAAATGTAAATGTAAATGTTATTACTAATAATAATAATAATAATAATAATAATCTAAATTCATATTAATATTGTAATTATAATTCCATATGGAAACTTTTTAGAATATACATTTTAGAAAATACTATATATACACTTTGCATTTTATTAATTTTAGAACGTTAATATTGTGTTATGTTAATTTACAAATAAATATTTTAAGTCTTAATATCACTGTGGTCATCGGGTTTGGACCTTTATTCTCTCCAAGCTGCTGACAGATCAACAGAAGACTTTCAGATTTAAATTTACATGAACATCTGAGAAAAACACGTACAATAAAGACTTTGGATGGATATTAATCGCCAGGGCCGGTTTATACGCTCACATTGTGTTGTCCTACCGGCCTTCAGATCAAGGAAGTTGCTGCGACATGAAATATTCAAACCAACGTTTTGATTAATGGCCGTGCGAGGTGTAGACAAGTGAAGGGGTTAATATTGTGTTATGTTAATTTACAAATAAATATTTTAAGTCTTAATATTCAAATTTATATTAATATTGTTATTAATAATATGAATAATTTTCTTAGTTCAATATGGAAACTTTTTAGTATATATGTTTTAGAATTAATTAATATTGACATTTACAGTTAATTAATATTAATTATTAATAATATTAACACTAACATTTAAATTAATATTAATATCAATATTAATATTGTTATTATAGTTCCATATGGAAACATTGTAGAATGTACATTTTAGAATATAATGCTATATATGATATTATAATGATATTAATGATATTAACATTGTTTTATAGTTTTAAATGGAAACGGTATTATTAAAATATAATTAATTAATTAATATAAATGTTATTTATAGGTTTGTATGGAACCTTGTTAAAATACACATTTTAGAATATACATTATTATTAATAACTTACATTAATATTGTACATTTTACACATATATATATATATATATATATATATTCATATTACATAATTTCATATTGATATTAAAACATGATATATTCAAACCAACGTTTTGATTAATGGCCGTGCGAGGTGTAGACAAGTGAAGGGTGATCTGGTGAAGATGCTTCATCTCTGGAGCTGAACTGTAAGCTCAGCTGCGGGCACGATGAAGGCTGACATGATTTAACGCATGAGCTCACTGAAACTAGGTCTGCAATTCCCCCACCTCACCCTTATGTGTGTGTGTCTATTATGCATGTTTTACAGTGGCCCTTGAGAGGATTCGTGAATGTGGTTGTTTGTGTTTGTGAAATAGGAAAACAGAAAGAAAACAAAAAGAAATATCCCATTCCAGTAAAAAATTACCAATGCCATTCCAAACCTCTAAGACTTTTTTTTTCTTTTTTTTTTTTGGGGGGGGGGGGGGGGGGA